CGTCACTGAGCGTGTCTAAGCGGGGAGGGGGGAGGAAAAGTAAGAGAGAGTGTGTGTGTGTGTGAGTGAGTGAGAGAGAGAGAGAGAGAGAGAGAGAGAGAGAGAGAGGATCCTCATCTTGGACCCCTAGGATGGGCGATGGGTTGGATCCAAAAAAGGAGCTTTTCCAAACTGGACGCCCCTGCAGGACCGATTTGTTTTCAGCCTCAGCTTTGCTATTGCTCTCAAGGCAAACCCAGGGCACGAGCGATCTCCTGCCCTTCTTCACTCTTGCAAGCTCAAGAGCCCTGGCTTCCTTAGGCAGTCCATCCATCTCATATTGGGTCTTCCTCTTCTCCTGCTGCCTTCCGCCTTTCCCAGCCTCGTTGTCTTTTCCAGAGAATCCCATCTTCTCGGGATGTGCCCAAAGGAGAACAGCCTCGGGTTCCTCCTTTTTGGCCTCTGGAGAGAGAGTTCAGGATTGATTTGATCTACTTTTTGGCCTCCGGAGAGAGAGTTCAGGATTGATTTGATCTAAAATCCACTTGTTCAGTTAATAGTATTTAATGACAACGCTATTAACATTTCCTTGAATGGAATCCAGGTGCTTAGGGTTTGAACTTCCACACCCATCAGCCCTCCCCTCTTTTCCTTCTTCCTGCCTCTGCCTTGGACTAAAACTCCCAGAGGCCTTCCCGACTAGCTGTGCTGGCTGGGCTTTATGGGAGTTGTAGTTCAAGAACATCTGGAGAGCCCAGTTTGGGAACCGCTGGTTTATGGAACCACTTCTTTAATGGGAGCAAGTAGGGTGTGTGGGGGAGTCCTCGGTTGAAGCAGGGCAGATTCCCTCAACCTGACAGCCCTCGGGCATGGTGGACTCCACCCCCCATCGTCTACAGCCAGCAGGCCATCGGGACTTTTGCCGGCGGATGATGGGAGCTGCCATCCACCCCATCAGCAGATGACTGCGGAAGGTGGCTTATAGAGAAGACGTAGAGCAGGCGGAGCGCCACGCCATCAGGGATCTAAGGATCCAGACCCTCAGTCCTCCTTCCTCCCAAACAAGTCTAGGATGCTCTAATCTTTAAGGTAATTAGTCTCCCTCGGTTGACTGATTAGTATCAGAGGGGACATGCTTCTTCCACTTCGCCTTGATCACCTTTCTGGTGACCCTTTCTGCTGTAAATAGAGCAGACCCTTTCTTAAAGAAAAGGGTGACTTCAGTTCTGGGAGAAAACCTGCTGTGAGGTGTGGGTCTTGTGACTCAGATTCCCCCTCCTACGGTTCTGCTTCCCGCACCTGCAACCCTCCCGCCCACAGTTCCTGTTCAGGTCTGTGGTTAAGCCAAGAGACATTTACTCATGGGTCTCTTGATTCCGTTTTGAGAAATCTGGTTAATGAGCTTCCCGTTCACTCAGGTTCCGTGTTCAAGCGGAAGGGGACTTTACGGGGAACGTACCTTTATCCCGTCACAATTTGATAAAGCACCTCCTCCGACTTAAAAGCGCCTTTAATGCCTCTCTTTGCTTCTTTGTTCTTGATCACATCACTGTTGTTTTTTTGTGTGTGCTGTGGTTCTCTTGAGGCTCTGCTAAATGGTCCTGCTGGCCTTCGCTGGTCCGTTTACAGCACTGGTTCCAAAGCTGGGGTCTCCAGATGCTCTTAGACTACAGCTCCCAGAAATCCTGGCCGGAACAGCAAGCGGTGAAGGCTTCTGGGAGTTTTAATCCAAGAACATCTGGAGATCCCAGGCTGGAAACCATTGATTTAGAGATCTGGCCCTCATTTCTAATGTTCTCATGGGTGGTCTGGTTTGGTCTCGGTCTCATGTGAGCACTGCTACAGGGTAGTCCTGTGAAGTGTCACCCTAGGAAAAGTTACTGTTTTTGGACTGTGGAGGCCAGAATCCTACAGCCGTCATGGACACCTGGGAGTCCAAGATAGGAACCTTTCTATGCTCTGCACACTTGAAGACCAACAATTAATTGACACCCATCCAACTGTGAAGTCATGGTCTTTCCCAGTAGTTGCCTGTTCTAGAGGTTTCTAATTCTGGTGCATCCCCTTTGGATTTTAACCCGCCTTTTATAGGAATTGTCCAAGATGCTGAACCTATTTTGGATCCAGGGTTCAGCACCCTGGATAGCTCTTGGGAAGCATAGACTAAAATCTGGCATGGATTCACAGCACCTCTGAAGTTGGAGTCACCATGAATACAGTCCCTGGTCTGTCCTATGGAATACTAGGATTTGTAGTTTACTGAGATCCCAGTAAGCATTCTAAGTCCCTCATCAAACTACAAGTCCCAGCATTCTTTAGGATGGAGCCACAGTTGGTGTGAAACTCTGCGATTGTATCATGTAGATACACCCCTCATGACCTGGATGATTTCCTTGATCTCCGTGGTCCATGCGAGACCACAACAAGACCCCCTGAGAGAGTTAGCGGGTCTCTCAGCTGATGGGGCAGAATTTCCTCTGACAGAACAATATTGGATGGCTCCCCATATAGTTATCTCATCCAGCATCATGCAGATGGAGGAAATCCACAGGCCAAACATTTCCGAGAGATGGCCGCCCATCGTCCAGCAGGCGGAAATGTTTGGAAATCGAAAGAGAGTGGGAGGGGAGAATTGTCCATTGGAACACCTTTGTCTAGATCCCAATTTTTCCAAAGATCTTAATTAGGTATTGGAGTAAGTGTCCTGAGTTAACTTCCCCTCTTGTGTATAATGAGTCACAGTCTCCCTTTCCTTGCTTAATGGTTGTGGGGGCGATTGAAGTCTTGCTGTTTTGCACGCTCTGATTCCACAATAACAGCCATTTTGCCAATTTGGAAATGTGGGAGCATTTCCTTTTTTGCAGACCGTGGTGCCATTTTTGGTCTGGTTCCACCATGCTGCAGATCGTAGAATCTTCTGCGGGCATGTTGTCTTCCGTCTTTAAATAAAATCTTGGTCCCCTCCAGGGGCCGTGGCAGGAAAAGGTACTGCCGGTTATCAAAGCCTGCATTAATTAAATCCACATCTATTGGACTTTATGCTAACTTTTAAACTGAAGATGGTCTCGTGTTGATCCTGAATTGGGAGGGAGAGTTTTGACGGGAAGCAAGGAGCTCATCGCTCAGTATGAAAATGCTGGGATGGCCCAGAGCAGAATACATGGGTCCCTGCAAGCCATATTTTGAGGATCAGTAGCCAAACTGGAGTACTTATGCTGCACACACACACACCCCACCATAGATGGCTGCATCTGTTGGTTTTGGTTTCTCCTACATTCTCTTTCTCAAATTGTAACTTATTTGTCATCCAGATATGGGAGAAATGGTGGCAATGGGCAAAAATCCTTACCAAAAATAGACCAAAAGGAAATTAGCACCCGTTCGTAATATAGACAAATATTAAAACCAAAGGTTTTTGAAGGATCAGACACTCCATTAAAGAGAGCACATCATTAGAAGAGGACGTTTCTTAACTGCTGATAGCATCTGAGTATCAGAGCAGGAGCTTTTGTTTCCTCCCAGAATTTGCACATTTTTTGCTGGTTTTGTTTTCCAGTTGGACACGGGACCCAAAAGCCAGCCTGATGGCTGAGTCATGAAGCTGTGCTGAAATCGTGTCTTTGGAAAAATAATGGATTCCATCTTCTAAAGACGTGCTGTTAGTCATTAGTGATTTGATCCTCAGTTGAGTTGAGAACATGGACCGAGTGGTTAAAAAGTTACGTGTTGTGGAAAAGCCGGGCGGTAAATACATGAGTGGCTATTGTTCATTTCCCCACCTCACAGACTCCGTATTCGATCCCTTTATCCACTCAGGTGATGCAGCACGCCCGATACCAAGCCTCTCAGCGCATTGCGGTCTTCCTGAGCCTGCCGGATGAAGTCCAGACGGCAGAAATCATTAAGGATATTTTTCAGCAAGGGAAAGAGTGTTTCATTCCACGGTACCAGCCCCAGAGCAACCACATGGACATGGTGAAGTTGGCTTCCTACCAAGAAATCTGTGAATCGCACCCTGGGTGATTTTGCACCTGCGCGGAGCCTCATTGGAAGATTCCAGAGCTCCTGCGATAGCAATGAACACCCATATAAGTACCTTGGCGCCAAGCGTCCCCTTTCAGTTTCTTTCAACCGCCGTGTTGAGAGCCTCATAATTCTGCTTCTGTGAGTAAAAGAGAAAGAGAGCTTATTCTTGATTCCTTCCTGTTATCAATCTTTTTCTTTTAAACTATTAGATTAAATTCGTTATCAACAGAGATTGATAACAGGAAGGAATACAGCACCCTTCAATCATCGGTTCTTCTCCTCCATTATTTTTCCTATTCACAGCCCCTTTGGGCCCGTTTAAGCACTACGTGGTCTGCGATAATCAGATCCCACTTTCCGACAGACACGCTAAGTGCCTTTTCTGCTTGGGGAGAACGACCTCAAACTTTCCCCGGGACCCGTTGCAAAAACTTTAAGTGCGGAGTTCTTCGATCTCGCCTCTTGAGGCTAAAACTCCAACTTTGGGAACAATCCTTACAACCAGTTCAAATGGCCCAACCTCCTTGTAGGTCTGCTTCCCAAACCAAACCAAGAGAAAAAGCCGTTACTGGATCATCGAAACAACGTCCACTGGCTCATTCCGAGTTTCCATCTGCATCGTCTAAAACAGACCTGGCCAAAGTGCGGCCCGAGGGCCACATACGGCCTGCGAGCCGCTCCTGTCTGGCCCGTGGACAGTTTTGAACATCAAAACCATTTATAGCGTTTTGTCTAAAGTTGATCAGTTGCTTATCTTTGACGTACCGCCAAAAACCTCTTTAGTATTTGTGAAGGTTAACAAGTTTAAAATAAAAACAATCATAACATCACTGTTTCATTTTATTTTTAAGTTGGTTTGGCCCCGAACACAGTTCAGATTTTTCATGTGGCCCCCCCCATAGAAATTAATCACCCACCCCTCGTCTAAGACCTCGAAGACGCTCAAATTAAAACCCTCGATACTGAAGTCCTCGAGTTCGAAAACAGCTTCTAAATTCACACATCCCGCCCGTCCTACCCTCTATCACACCATTGTGTTACAAGCGGGTAACCTGTCGGTGGCATGATAAGATGGTCTACTACTTACTGTTACCTCCTAAGCGTGCCAGATTCAGGCATTGTTGGTGAATATGAAGAAGGTGAGATTGGAGGGGATCTGGCCATACACCAGCCCTGCGAGGTAGTTTAGGTCGAGGGACTAATGATGATATCAAGTTTGCCCAATAAGGATTTGACCTAGATTCTGGAATACTCTTCTCAGTATTTACCCCACACTTTGGAATGCCCTCCCCCGAATATAAGGGGTGTCCCTGAAAACATTTAGGAATTTTTAAATAAAATGAGAAGGTGAGGCGAAGACAGGATTTTGATTGTGGAGGCGGGAGAAAAATCATTACATACCGTTGAAGGTATAATGAGCAAAAGAAGTTAATCGTTCTCAGACTGCCGTTCTGTAGGAGTACAAGTGTCATTAGGAGCCCTGAAAAATTCCCTCATGTGCTAAATAACATAGCTGCCGGTCTGTTGGAGAGCTTAAATAAGATGTGTACCAAGTGGCAGAGAAATCCACTGCTTAGGTTGGGAACGGCAAGGTGTTTAATAGCGCAAGAGGAACAGCCAAAACTGTTCCGAACGAGATGGAGAAACGACGGCTAGGCCCATTGGATTTCCTTCCCTTCCGGGAAGATCCATTAAAATCTTTTGATACAATATACACTGGAGAGATTAATTTTATTTTGGGGGGGAAAAAAACAGAAAAAAAAATTCATGCCGGTCATAAAAAAAAACAACAACAACGGTGGCATGGAACAAAATTTAAAATCAAGGCTTTGTTCTTAATGTCATTTTTTTTTAATTACATGATTCGAGGTTTGGAATGAAGTTCTTCTGAAAGATAGTGAGGCCTAGAATTTCAAATTGCAGAGCGAGAAAAGAGATGCAGGTGTATAGCGCCGTTAGGATGATGATGGACGGGTTCTGATGGGGATAAAGAGCGATTTCTTTTGTAGAAACAGGCCGGCACTATCCAAGCGCTTCCTAGCTGATCCGGGGGAGATAACAGGCACATCTACTCAAGAGTAAGCCCAATTGACTTCAGTGGGGTACATTCCCAGATAGATGGGTCCAGCCTCTGGCGCGCTTATATGGCGGGAAGTTGCACGAAACGTAAGGGCCTAAATCCCATCTGGGTTTTAGCCATTGAAAAGCACATTGCAGGGAAAAAAAAAATTCCAGCAGAGTTTTGGGGGTATTTGAGGAGGGATGTGTAGGGAGTTAAATCCTGAAAAGTAGAGAAGGAAAATGTCTAGGCGACGAAACCAACGTTGCTATATCTACGCCGTATTATAGCACAACCCACTCTTTGCAGTCCTCTTGCAAGCCGGCAAAGACCTTTCTCTTCAAGCAAGCTTTCCATGAATGCCTTCCTTCCTAAGTAGGGTTTTAAAATGGGATTACTGTGCCTTACTGTGTTGAATGTGTTTTTGCTGTTACTTCTGTTTACTATTTTCGAGTGTGGTATTTGTTTGACCCCTTTTTAGTATTTGTACACTTGCTGTTTTTCGCTTAATGATGAGCCACTTGCTTTCAACTTCATTTCATAATGAGATTCCTCTTAGGGAGAGTTCAGAGAGAGAGAGGAACTAAATCAGGACTAGAACAGTTGAATACACAGGAATGAAAAGCAGATTTTTAAGCATAAGATTACCCAGAACATTGAATCTGGGTGACCACATCTGTGTTTTCCAAATTCAAATTTTCTTGAACTCCAGTTGTCTCTTTCCCAGAAATGAAGAACTTTGCAAATCTGAGTACATGGGTATCAAAATTACAGTGAAACTAAGTTCTCCATTCTGTAATGGTTGTTAGATGAAACCGTGGTTAGCTCAGACCAATGTTGTTTGGTGATCTGGCCTTGTTTTTCCAATCACAGCCAAAACAAGCCACAGTTTAGACACAGTGAGCAACTGTGGTTAGTTGAAAACTTTCAAAATTTCCCTTCCATTGGGGCATTTCATTAGAGTCCTGGAGAAGAAAAGATTAAGAGGATTTAGGCATATCATGGGGAACCATGCTTTAACGTTAGTCCTAAACCAGTTCAGTGTGAATTTGCTTTGCATTTATGCCGCAAGCCTGCAATTGACTTGAGTGTTTCTAAAATGTTTTAGTGTCTATAAATATAAATGCAGTGGGCATACGCTTGCACACATGTGTAGCACATAGGGTCAATTGGTGGGCATTGAAGTTTGCTGAGTCAGTGCAACAAGCCACGTCCTCTGTGTTCGTTCCGGGTGAAACAGCTTAAACGTCGCAGGTCAAGAGATGGCTCTTTTGTGAGCCAGGGGGCAAAAAATCTCTTTTTATGACCAGCAGATGTCAGCATGCCAGAGATTTCCTTGTGAGATAGAGTGACATTTCTCCTGCGGTTGCTGTAATTAAAAATCTTGTTCAGTCATGGCGCTCACGTACAGGAGAAATCAGACCTAGCCCCAGAGATCTGAAGGCAGCTGAGGTAGACGCGTGCTGTCATTTTTATTAAGACGGTCGCTTATGAGTGTTTAAGAGAAGCACTGGCTGGGTGGGAGGGGAACTGGTAAGAGGCTGATAAGAAGCTCATGATAAAGCTAGCATGTGGCACTGCTTAGTAACAAAGATAGACGGTAGGCTTTGAACCAATGAGTCAGGGTGCTTTTCTATCACCTTGCTCCCAATTGGGCTTGCAATGGCTTACAAATTATTAAAAAAAAACAACCCAACTAAATTATGACACAGGCATGCCTTTGCGAGTGCTGAGTAGGGCCTGTGGAAGGCAGCAAATTTTGGAGAGCGCTCATTCATTGGGCACCGTAAATCAGAGCGACTTAGCGGCACATGAGCAGCGACAACAGAGAACAGTTCAACATTATAGGAATATTAAAGCCCTTAGTGAAGACCTCCTTGAAAGCATGCACCAAATAATAATATCATCTTGTTGGTCTCAACTAGAGTTGAGCCGTTGAATCAGCGCCTTGGTTGACTTCGCTTGTGTCAATAAATCTGCTCTGGTTGGGACTAGCAATGAGAGACCGGCCACCAAGTCCATTACAATGTGGTATTTACCACCGTACCTTCCTGAGCACACCCAGATTTGTCCGATTCTGGAAGCAGGGCCAGGCTTGGTTCGTTCTTCGGTGGGAGACCTCCGGGTGATCCTCAGATTCTACTGGTTGGGTTAAGAGAGAATCCTGCCGGGGAGGGGGGGGCTGCGGAGAAGCCAAGGCTTCGTTAAGCCAAGTCAGATCAGGGCTCTAATTTACTCTGAAGCCCTTTTCTATCTCCTTGATGCTCTGGAGCAGCTGCCAGAGGGAGATTTTTTTAAAAAACGTTGGACAGATGAGCTTCTGTCTGAATGCGGCATCAGACGTTTGCTTCCCTGTTACAAAAGGGAATTGTGGATCCTTCACTCCAGGAGCTCTACCTCTGTTTTCCTTTTTAAAAAAAAGCCCAACACAAAAGCTCAGTCGAGAGGGCCTTGGCGGTCATTATACGCACCGCACCCACCCAATCGCCTTGAGACCGGTAGGCGAATAAATTGCAACTCCCTGCCAGAAGCTTGGAATAATTAAGAGGAAATAGTTTACTTCAGGCTGGTCATATTGTACAGAAAGCTTGCATGTAGAGGTGGGAGAGGGTAAGGGTGATAGAGGAAGGGGTGGAAAACTCTTGCTTTCTCCCCTTTTATGTCCATCATCCTCTCAAGTAAGTGGATGCAGCATTGGGAGATTCACGCCAAAGAACGGCCTGGTAGTAGAGACACATTGGCAGAGTGGTTAGTGCACTGGATAGAAAAAATACAGGAGATTCAGGTTCACCTCCTTCCCAGTTTTGAGCACTTTCAACATCTTTTTGTTTAGATCTGTTTCCACATCTTTCTCCTTTGTGTAAAACACAATGTTTTCCCTGCATCCTTCCCCTGTGGAATATAAAGTTCCTTAAGTTTCTTTCCTCCACTAAAAAACCCAACCCCTAACAAGTGAGATGAGGAGACTCGTTCCAACAGGCTACGCAGCCGCCACAGGCTCATTGGTTTCAAACGTTCCCTTGGCGTCTCCTGCGCCATGTTGGTCCAGAAATAGCAGATCGGCACGTCGGTCTGCCTTTCTGCTTGGCAGCCCTTCAGGACGACAGCCGGTCGCCTCGATGCTGCTCGGCGGCGGCCCGAATCAACCTTTAAAAGCAAGATGGCCAGCAAAAAAAATTCTCCGAGGATGGGGATGCGGGTTAGGAGCTCAGGGTCCCCATGCAGGCCATGAACCTATCTAGTTTTTTTTAGGGGGAGGAAAGAAGACGGAGGTTGCTTCGTGCTCTAGGATCAGCATCACTTCCTTTTAAAAATGGCTCGCAAGAAGGGGACAGGTATTTTTTGCCCTGTGCTCCAAGGACAGAAATGTGGTGGGAACGAGGAGACTAAATGTCGCAGAATGGGTGAGCTGGATGGAACCCTCCGGATCGTCGAGTCCAGCCCTTATCCAGGAGGTGCAGTGGGAGGATTCGAATTCCCAACCTCTGCCTAAACCACAGAGGTTTCCAGCCAGCCGTATAATCTTAGAACTGCAGAGCTGGAAGGGATCCTTTGGGGCTAGCAAGCAGAGTAAAATGTTTTTTTTTTTAAGTTAATAATAAATAATATGCCAGGGTAAGCACCACCTTGCCTGTTCGTGCTCTCCCGTGTACTTGGGACAAGCTTGAGTTTCTTGGCCCTCTTTTCACCCAGCCTCTTTCCTACATAACCAGCACAACGTTGAGGGGAAGAGGCCGGGACCTATAAATCCCCCCCACGAGGAAGGCTGAACCTGTAATTAATTGCATTTCCCTTTTGATCCCTCTAGCAACCTGTAGTTAACATGCTGTCGTGGTTGCACGCCTGCCAGTGTTTCTCCTACAAAAAAAAGGGGGGGAAATCTTGATTATTATTAAATGCACAAACTGGGTTTTCATCTCATCGACTGGATCATAGATCAACTGTAAAAATAATTACACCGGTGCGAATCTCGGGGAAGAGGGTGGTGGTGGTGGCTGTTCCGCTCTCCTGCTTCGGAGAATCTTTTAAAAAACACCACCCAAAGATGAACGAAAACGGAGCCGAGGAGGCGAGATGACTTGCATGAAAACCAAACAGCAAAAGGAAGGACCTCAGAGGGGAAAAAAAAAAACCTGGCTACCCGACGCAAAAACAAGGGGAGGTAAGGAGTCAAAAATAAAAGTGAAGACCGGGTACGTGGAAAACATCCCCAAAGAGATATTTAGTTGTGGTGGCAGCTAGCTGGTTTGCCGGGCATCCATAACCTTTACAGCAGTAGATTTCTGCTTCCTTCCTTTAAAAAAAAAGCATATTTTTGTTTATTGGTGTGTCGTCACTGGCGTCCTTATGTTTCCTGCAGATTCAAATCATCCATCCTTCTACCTTGGGGAGTTGTCAGCCTCCAAGGTTCCAGTCGCTATTTCTCCCTGGCCCTGAGCATGCATAAAGGAACAAGAAACACTGATATTTCTCTCTCTCTCTCTGTGTTTCCTTCTACAGAAGGGCTCGATCTCATCCTTATGCCAGGTCTCGGTTTTGACAGAACCGGCAACAGGCTGGGAAGAGGAAAGGGCTACTACGACGCCTACCTCAGCCGGTGCCTGCAACACCCCAAAGGAAAGCCTTACACCATCGCCCTAGCGTTCAAGGAACAAATGTGCGAGTCAGTTCCAGTCTCTGAAAATGATATCAAAGTGGACGAAGTCCTGTTTGAAGAGAACAAAACCCAACATTGACCAACAGCGGTGATAGCCGGCATTAACAAAGCAGTAACACCTTCGAGAATACAAAGGAGTAACATTTTTTCAAAAACCCTGATGATTTCTTGAGTCTCCGTAGGGTTGATTCACCTGTGCTCCTTTGACACCAAACAGCTGTGCTATCAAGCCCTGTTTTGAATGGGTGAAGGGGCTTCATGGGAGACTTTGCATCAACAGAGTTAAGTTCTAGTTGCTGCTCCAGAAATGTTGTTTTCTTCTTAAAGTAATGAGGCATCCTTTCTACATCTTACGGAATTAATCGCTAGCAAATGCATTTATTAATCCGACATGACTGGAAGTTTGACAGTGTGTTTGTTTCTCCTGGAAAGCTTCTCTCTTTTTCTATTTCATAAAATTTATCTCCACCGTTTACTTGATGTGGACGCTCTCTTTCTAAATGTTTCCATCCTGTATTAACTCTGCAGGAGAAAACACACGAGGCTATGAAACGTTCTGGGGAAAAACAGTGGGATAGTAGGACTGCTTTAAACATTTAATCACAAATGTTTGTTTCCCATCCTCCCACCTTTTATTTATTTATTTATTTTTGAAATGTTTAAGATTCTTTCTGTTTAATTTTTGAGGAAACTGGGGGACGCTTTTACCAAAAGGGTGAATAATACAGTAGGACCGGGGTATTGGGGGAAGCAGTCTCAAGCCCCTCACAAATGCTGAAAAATGTGGAAGGATCGAAAGCTATTCATAGTCTCTGGCTTACTCTAAAGGCCCCTTCTGGTAAATACGCCTTGGAAATACATATAAATAGGTAGGTTTTCCTGGGTGTCACAGTCCCAAGATATCCCAGGCAGCTTCTCACCATGGATAAGGGCACCAGGACTCCATCCACCAAGCAGGGTATGGAGTCCAAAGGCACTCACTGCACAGCTGGCTGGGACCAAGCATAGACAGGAGCACCAGGCTAGGAGCCAGAACAAGGCACCAAGATGCAGGAGACCAGCAGAAGCAAGCAGGGGCAGGACCAGGGGCAGGAACATGAATCCAGATGCAGAGATGCCAGGAGCAGGGGCAGGAACACTGGAATGCAGGGACTCCAGAGCTCAGGAACAGCAAGGCACAGCATGGCCAAAAAACTTTGTTCCTGAGAGAAGTTCTGGGATGGAGAACCACCCCTTAAATAGCCCTTCCCTCCAGGTTTCCAGGTGAGCCTCATGAGTTGCCCAGCAGCTGCTACACCGGCCAGGGCCTGAGCCTGCAAACACCACGCCATTCCTGAGTCAGGCTGGCCCCAATCCTGCAGTTGCCAGAGTGGTACAGGCCAGAGCCTGACACAATTCTTTAAGACAAGGGAAATAAGTTATTACCTAATACAGTTCTCCTAATATACATTCCTAGTACACATACATTTTTAAAAACGGCCAGGGCCTGAACCTGCAATCACCAGGCCATTCCTGGGTCAGCCTGGCCCAATCCTGCAGCAGCCAGAGTGGTGTGGGCCAGATCCTGACATAAAAAGGTAAAGGTAAAGGTTCCCCTTGACAATTTTTTGTCCAGTCGTGTTCGACTCTAGGGGGCGGTGCTCATCCCCATCTCCAAGCCATAGAACCAGCGTTTTGTCTGAAGACAATCTTCCGTGGTCACATGGCCAGTGTGACTTAGACACGGAACACTTTTACCTTCCCACCAAAGTGGTCCCTATTTATCTACTTGCATTTGCATGCTTTCGAAACGCTAGGTTGGCAGGAGGTGGGACAAGCGACAGGAGCTCACTCCGTCGCGTGGATTCGATCTTATGACTGCTTGGTCTTCTGACCCTGCAGCACAGGCTTCTGCGGTTTAGCCCGCAGCGCCACCACGTCCCTTGACATAGGGGTTTTTTAATTCAGCAGTTTCAGTCAGTGGATAAATGAATCAGTGGATACTGTTCCTTGCCCCTTGAGCTATGCCCATGTAGCTAAGCAAGAGGATATAGAATTCTGCTCCTCGGCTCAGTGAGAGGGTGCAAAGTCAGGTGACCGGCACTGATCTGAGACATTTCAGCACCTTGGACAGCACAGCAGGTTGTTGCCCCCCATGACTTCATTTAGATTCAGCACCATGGTCAACTACCCACCAAACTGGCAAAGTATCCCAACCTCCAAGGAAGGATCTCTAGGACTGGAGAATGAGAGGTTAATGATATTGCTCTGAGGTTTAACCTATGGTGGAGAGGACCATGAACTAGTTTGAGGCATCAGCGTGAGCCACTCCTTCTCCAGAACTTGGCCTCTGAGTCATCTTCAGGTCCACAGGAAGGGGTCTTGATAGAGTTGATTGAAGAGATGGGTGGATGAGCATCAGGACTCGCCCACACTTTTGGAAGAAGGTGCTAAACTTGGGTTGTTCATTCCCATGAATGAGAGGATGCAACTGAACTGAACACCAAGCCTTATGAGGAAAGTAAGAAGGATAGAGTTGAACTGAACACCAAGCCTTATGAGGAAAGGCTGAAAGAATTGGGCATGTTTAGCCTTGAAGAAAGAAGGCTGAGGGTAGACAGCATAGCACTCTTCATTGCTTGAAAGGCTGTCCTACAGAGGAGAGACAAGGAAAGGCTGAAAGAATTGGGCATGTTTAGCCTTGAAGAAAGAAGGCTGAGGGTAGATAGCGTAGCACTCTTCATTGCTTGAAAGGCTGTCATACAGACGACAAGATCTGTTCTCAATCATCCCAGAGTGCAGGACATGAAACAATGGGCTCAAGTTAAAGGAAGCCAGATTTCAGTTGAATATCAGGAAAAACTTCGTAATTGTTAGAGCAGTACGACAGTGGAACCAGTTACCTCGAGAGGTGGTGAGGGCTCCAACCCTGGAGGCATTCAAGAAAAACTTGGATAATCACCTGGCAGATCTGCTTTGGTTGCATTCCTGCGTTGAGCAGGGGTTTGGACCTGATGGCCTTGTAGGCCCCTTCCAACTTCACTTTTCTATGATTTCTATATGCCAATAATAGCAGTAGTGATATTGATAATTGCAGTGGTGATCGTGGAATCTCCACAGTCAAAATCGTTCACTTTTCCAACGTACTGCAGATGAGACCACCGCCAGCAGGACTGGGCCTGCCTGTTGTTGTTCAGCTGGCGGGGGGCTGAGAAAGGTGTCGGATGTGTGAAGTGCAGGCTGATAATTATTTTGACAGACCCGTCACCAAGGACCAGCCTGAGTTCAACCTGCGGTATTGCAATGGCCTCCAGTAATTGCTCTGATTAACAGGGAGCTAATTAGAATGCATTACACATTCCAAACCCAGATTTCGCATTTTCCCTGTTTCCCTTCTCTTTATAATTTGCATTTTTTCCAGAAAGGGAAGGATGTTGTTGCCTGTTTTAATGCAACTGGCTGAAGATTCCCTAAGGACATATGTAGCAATTATCAGCATTTGTGCTCTCCTTAAGAACAAACAACCGCTTTCCTTAAACCAGCTAAATTAATCCATCAATTAGAGACATTAATTCGTGTTTTTAAAAAAGGCATGGCTCAGAAATGGGTACACGTGGAGACAGGAAGAAATGTTTTTACACCCAGTGTTTTCCATGAGAACATTTCAGGTTATTTCTGTTATCCCTGCGGTGGGATTATTTGCAAGGCTGAATCTGGAATACTTAGGAGGTAATAAAAAGTAGTAGATCATCTTATCCTCCCACCTATCCTTTAAGGCGATGGTTCCCATCCTTGGTTCCCTGGATGTTCTTGGACTACAACTCCCAGTAATCTTGACCAGCACACCTAGTGGTGAAGGCTTCTGGGCATTGTAGACCAAGAAAATCTGGGAAACCAAGGTTGGAAGTTGTTGCTTTAACAGGATGTGCTTTTAATTCCTGCTCCTACCAATGCTGCTGCTTCTGAGCCCCTGGCACTCAATTGGGCAGCACCTCTTTCCCCTAGCTTAAATGCTATATAACTGTTTTACAGGAATAGGCAGAACAAGAGGTGTTTCAGATATATGTGTACGCTAAGCTTTGGGTCTTTGAATATCATGATGGGAGCTGTGCAGGTTTAGTGGTTTTGGACTACAGAAACCAGAATTCTGGGAGCCGGGATGTAAAAACACTCTTTGGCACACCTCTCATAATTTTGGAGAACTAGAAGGGGACCCTGTGGATTCTTGAGTCCGGCCCGTGTCAAGAAGGTACAATGGGGGAATCGAACTCCCAACCGAAACCACCAAGTTATCCCGCAGTTCAATAATGGTGAGATCCTATGCCACTCCTAAGAAACAGCCCATCCCCATTTCAAGGGAGGTTTGTTGTGCAGGAAGACACCTTGCAAGCACATGTAGATGACTTCCTAGAAGCTTTCGTTGTCACCCTTGAGCTGGCTCCTTGCTCCTGAATCATCATCATCATCTTAGGACAACAGATCTGGAAGGCACCCTATGGACCATGGAGCCCAGCACTCATCCCCCAGTGGGGGAATCAAACTCCCAACCTCTGGCTCTGCAACCAGAGACCTAACCCACAGTGCTCTCCAACAGTTCTTATCATGGTCGTGATCACAAGGACCACAACAATGCAAAACCATGATATTTCTTTTGACTAATGTTGTTGCTGTGTGTGTGTGTGTGTGTGTGTGCGTGCGTGCGTGCAAAGCCTGGATTGGATTGTAAAATCCTGCCGCAACTTCCCTGTTAATGTCTTAACTAAAAACTAGTTTACTTCTGTCCTCCAAAGATTATCAGTTGTTTTCCAGAAAGAGGGAGGAGAAGCCGCTGCCGACACCGAAGACTGATCAGCAAGAGGGTAATCGTATGATGACGAAGAGAGGGAGAAGCAGTAAATTAGCCATCACAACTTCAGAAAACGCCTTTGAAAAACTATAAAGAAGTAACTCATGCACTGCTAATTGGGCAAAGCGTATCACCTTCATAAAACCTCTGCAATTTCCCCATGTTTTCCCACATGATGGTAATTCTCCCTTTATCATTATTCATTTTTAAAAACTTCTTTTACTTGTGATGGAAGCTCGTTTCCGGATGTCCCAGTTTGAAGAAGCAGGAACACAGCCAAGACGTTTTGGATCGTCACCGATACCAGTGGCAGCATCATTTTCTTTTTTCCAGTGTGCCCGGAGCCACTGGGAATTTGTGAAAAGTTGGTCCCAACCATACGAACTTTGAAGGTCCAGTATAAAAATAAGGATCTGGCTTGAAAACCGAAACAAAGCATAAATCAGCAGAAGAAAGAGAAAACACTTCCCCTCCTGTGCTTTCTTCAAATCTATTTAAATCTGACTTCACCATTTATCTTTCATGAGATTTTCATTACCTCCTCACTCACCACGGAGAAGATGAAATCGTTAGCGTGATCATTCATTTCTTTAATCTCCTATTTGTTTAACGGGTTACTCAAGCAACTGAGTGTCATCTTTCTTTGCC